TGTGCTCGAAAGTAGATGTATTTATTCAATTACGTTGACAAATAGCTAAATCTGTAAAGCAATCTTTCCGTTATTTATTTCTTTTGAATTGCTGTTGAGCCATTCGATCCTTAATATGTTATTCTTACGCAGACGCTTTATTTTCCCGTGACAAACAGAGAACGAGTTTGGATAAATTGGAGCTCGCTAATCGTAAGAAGAGGTCAGTAGTGCAGTTTAGCCGCTCGTATAAGAGCAGCTCGAACATCAGTAACTCCATTAAAGTAGATCAACGTTGCACGGTGTCACCATGAACGTGGTAGTGATACCGTTCTTTTTAGGTGAGAATTCGGAATTATCGTGACACTCGCGTAGCGAGTCGGGACTGATTCAACTCGAATCGCGTTTATCGTTTTCAATACTTTGTGATTGAATTTCATTTTGCCGAAGGTCGTTGTATTGTAAGTACCGATAGCTAGAATGATATGCGTCCAAGTCGGCATGTCGCGAATCGAACGATCAATCGCGTTACCGTCAGAAATAGGAAAAACGCTAGGTAATCGAGATATTTAACCGTAGACATCGGCCTGCTTGACGTCATCACTGCATTAATCTAGGTTCATTCAAGCTTAACCGGCCCATTCAAGCTGACGGTCGAATAATACGTCGCCTGATCAGATGTCATAACTTGCCTAGTGCGCGCAATGATGTAATGACCTTTTTTCCTCAGCCGCGCATCTCACTGTGGACGAGCCATGGGAACATGGGCCGGAATACACGTTCCAAGTCCAGGTGAACTGCACGGCGATCCCAGAGGAGGGTATATATGGCAGCGTAAGGCTGAACTTGGTATCAAAGCTGATCTGCCAACCAAAGGGCAGTCATATGTTGAGTTGTCACTTCGAGGACTCCAAGGCAAACAGCTTCGTTGTGGATAGTCTGGACCCGTCGGAACCAGTAATACCAGCCGGTCTGGTAAACCGGCAGCCGGCTTACGAGATCAACGAAGATCAGTTCGAGATCAAGTTCAACAAGCGGGGGCTGGATAGTCTAGTGGTGAATGAAAACATTCAACCGCGCGAGCTTGACATGATCCGCATGATTGTGGGCCAGCTAAGCGTAGGTGCCGTCCTCGATGGCGTTGGAAACGACATTATCTTCGACGCAATGGAGAATTTTACCCAAGGCGAGTGTTACACGACCTTCAAGATTGATAAGAAGCTTGTGGGACGTCCGTTGTACGCGAAACCTAGCTATGCACTCAGGCCGGTCTTCGGCCTGAAAGATGGCAAGCTGGTGCAGATACGAAAGATCCGGAATCTGCATATGTGCGCGCACAAAGTGCCATATTTCTTCGGCAACGCTGAAAGCTTCAGAGAAGAGAGCGACATTATGTCTGACATTGTAAGCGTATTTTCATCACTTATATACATTTACTTTTTATATTGATCACTTGTAAATTCCTCCGTATTAATTTACATGAATATTACTGTGCGATTGTTAATTTTTACAGATATTGCGTTGGGGAAAAAGTTTCTTCGTATTTTTTAATTCAAAATATATGTTTTGTATATACAATATCTTCGTCAAAAATGAACGAAATTTAAATTTAAAAAAAGGGTTTTCAAGCTTGAAATCTTTACTTTCGAAAGGTTACTATTTTTCGAGTTTCTATGAGTTTGATAATTTTTATATTTAAAAAACTATGAGCTAAAAAAGATGAAAAATTTGAACTTTGGTTTCTCACTTGCCCAAAAAAAATTTACGAAAA